TGCGATAAGACGCACGGTGAGGCCCACGGGGCGCACGGATTTTTGGGCGCATGCCGCGCCGCACAGTGGGCCAGAAGACCGGTGGAGGCGGCCAAAACTCTATACACTTTTTGAGCTCCATAGTCGATAAATGGGACTCGAACCGAACGTGTGACTCCACCAACGGATTGCTCTCGGAACAAGGAATCCATTGGTGGGGTCACACGTCCGCTTCGAGTCCTATTTAGCGACTCTGGAGCTCAAAACGCGTCTAGAGTTTTGGCCGCCTCCACCGGTCTTCTGGCCCACTGTGCGCCGTCCGGGTCCTTCGGGTCCCTCCGCCCAACGGCTGCTAGTCACGGGAGCGGCCGTATCAACGTGGGTCGCTTTAGGCGCACCTCGGCCGAGTTGTTTAGGGTGTGCGAGGATCGGGGCGATGCGGCCTTGCAGGGGGGCTGCCTGCGTGGAGGAAGCGCAGGGTTTGTCCTGCCGAGCGATTCAGAAGAACGGTTTGTCGCTCTCTCCCACCCTTGAGGAAAGTCGTGTGCGAGAGAGACAGCGAGACTCTTCCGAATCTCTCGGCTGGATTGGCGGACCAAGCGAGATGCGCGGCGGTGTAGCGCGCTATATTCGGCCCGCGCCGCGCGCCGCCATCCGCCCAGATGCCGAGAGTCTGTCTGTCTCTCTCGCACTCATGAGGCGTCCCGCACGGGTGCGAGAGAGACAGAGCGACGAAAACGACTCTCGGAAATCAGTCTGCGGCTCTTTGCGTCTTCCCCACTCGGGTTGGCAAACAGAGGGTGTGGGGCAGGCCGGCAGGGGCCTCCAGCGAATGCATTGTCCTGCTCACTTATTAATTAACTTTGTTTTGCCGCCGGTAATGTACGCGGTGTACTACACTCTGCATTGTTTCGCGAGTTATTACGGAAACTCTCGTGTGTCCGCGTGCGTCGCGCAAAGTTCTGGTGGGTCTGCCAGCGAAAGCAGCAGCTTGAATCAGGACAGGTGTTGGCAAATTGGATTCGTCGGTCTGCCTGGAGTTAAGCCGTGCTGATCTGAGGGTGGACCAAGCCTTCCATACATGAACAAGAAATCCCCAACCAGAAATGAGCGATATTTTCGCCAAAAGATGACAGCTCCGCCAGTGGGCCAGAAGACCGCCGCCGGTGGCCAAAACTCAGGACGCGTCTTTAGAACCAGAGTCGCTAAAAAGGATGCGAAACGAGCTTGTGACCCCTCCAATGGATTCCTTGTTCGGAGAGCAATCCATTGGTGGGGTCACACGTTCGGTTCGAGTCCCATTCAGCGACTCTGGAGCTCAAAACGCGCCAGAAATTTAGGCCGCCCCCATCGGTCTTCTGGCCCAATTTGCCACGCCTCCTCGCGCTGGCCATCGTGGTCCATGCTTGTTTGTGTGTTTTCCGGAACCAACAGCCGCCTTTCAGTACGTGTCTGAAGCGAACGGCTGCCCTTCTCCTCATAAAGGGTCCGCCCCTCGGTCCCTGTCTTTCTCTCACGTAATGAGAATGCGCGCATGGGCCTCACTCATTTGTCCGGGACGCGTGGACGTGCGTCGCCGACTTGTCCTTTCCTTCCGTCTCGGCTCACTCCTCGGACAAGCAGCCAATCAGGGCGCAGTGAGGCGAGGCGTGCCGACGCCGACATTGCCGGCGTCGAAAACGCAGCCGACACAAAGGGGTTCCGTGCCTCGAACAATAGTTTCCGCACCCGACACCGAGGACTTCCCTCAGGATACCAAGTTCGTTTTAGGCCACTCTTCGCTTGGCGCGTTGAGCTAATCGCCGACAATCCCGAGTGCGAGTATTTCCAGGACACTGTTTAAAAGGCGCACTCGCAGGCCGGCTCGAAACTTTGCCGGACTTGGCGCCGGTCGGGCACTGTCGGGCCGCGACGATGCACAGCGGGCCGGCAAAGACCGGCGCAGGCAGCAGGCAGCCAAAACTCTTGACGCGTTCCGACCTCCCAGAGTCGCTAAATGGGACTCGAACCGATCGTGTGACCCAGCCAGTAGATGGCTCTACGAACAAGGAATCCATTGGTGGGGTCAGACGTTCGGTTCGAATCCCACTTGGCGTCTCTGCACGGTGAAAACGGTTCCTGGTTTTCCCAGGAGCTCCCTGGAAATCGCCTATGTCTCTACCACAGGCTTCCTTGGGAAACCAGGTACCGTTTTTACCGTGTGGTCCTGGACGTCAAAACGCGTTTTGGCTGCCTCCACTGGTTTTCTTCTGGCAAATTGCAACGGTGCCCTTCAGCCTTCCAGTCGAAGGAGCGAAGTGAGGCGGGGCGGCGGTCGGCCTCGCTGCCAGGCTGAACCAGGCCTCTACCGGGGTTCTGCCGGGGCCAGGCCGTTGGGAGCGGAGGCTATTTCGGCCTCGGCCAGCCTGGTTCGAAAGTCCGCCGCGCTGCCGCGCGCCACCGGCGAGGCATCTCCTTTGGCGACCGGCTGAGCAGCCTTTTCATTATTTTCCCTGTCGCGTTTCATCACGTCCGTTTGAACGTAAACAGTGGCGGCGCGGTGGCGGCCGCCGCTCCAAATCTTTATCTGGTCGCCTTTCCCCGCCGCGCGGACGGAGTGGCGGAGGCGGCGCAGCGCGCAGCGGCGAGGAGAATGAAATTTCCGGCGGCGGAGATGCGGGGCGGTGACCGCCTGGCCGGGCGCGCCCCCTGCCCCGCCCGGAGGCTCCGCGCCGCGCCGCCGCGCCCCGCCGTCTGGGATTGGAATCGCTGAAACCGAACCGTCGCGCCGCGCTGAGGGATGGCCATGGCGATAGCGAGTGGTTGCCGCGCGGACCGCAGTCCGGGTCGCCGCGCCGAGAAAAGTGACGTTTACACTATACTCTGACCAGAAAACGAAGAGCCTTGAGTTCTCGCGGTTTATGGCATCTGCCGCCTTGGATAGCATTGCAGGTAGCCCTCGACCGCGAGGACCCAGGGCTCTTCGTTTTCTGGTCAGAGTATACAACCAAAGGACAGACTTCTCGCCACTCGGCGAGACACCTGAAAGTCTGGCCAAAATTTGGTCAGACAAAAAAGTCTCGCCACAAAACGGTCAGACACAAAAGTCTCACCACAAAATGGCGAGACCTTTGTGTCTGACCGCTGTGAGCTGTTACAGTAAATTCGGCGCACGCCTAAAACGAAGCAATATTCCTTCGTAATGCAAATCTTTTCTGTATTGCCATTGTAAGATACAAAGAAAAACCTCGGTAATACCAAGAAAAATTACCTTCGTCTTGCGTTTGGAAATTTCTTCGCAAGACACTTAGAGTGTGGAAATGCAGAAGCCCTTCAATTTAATCAGCAGTGTCGTCTTCACGGCACAGAACACTAGATGAGCTTTTCTCTTAATTTTTGTGCATTAAAAGACCATTCTTGAAGACGACTCATTTGTCAGAGACACGCCTGAGTCCACATAGGATCTGTGTAAAATAGTTTTTCAGCACCGCTCCTTGTCCACCGCGCTCAATGCTGCCGACTGGCTTCGTACTGTCGGCTCACGGTTGGAGTGTTTAATTCAAAACATCGAGTTGAATGCGTGAATATGAAGCGCCCTTCTCCACCGAGCCCGGACCGCGCGACAGATGCGGCGCAGTGCGGGCGCTCGCTCGCTCTGCGCTGCCATTTCAAAGCTCTGGTTGGCTGTTTTTCGAGCCCCGCCGAGCAGGGTGCGTAAACACGGTGCGGTGCTGCATTTATTTCCATCTCAACGCGTGTTCCGGTCGGACGCGCCACGCCAGACGGCGCAAGCGGCGCGAGTCGCGGCAGTGAGGCTTCCTCCGCGATCTGGCCACTGTAAAACGGGAGTAAAAATGGAAACAAACGGGGAAACGTGTGTAGTGTAGAGGCCGTGCGTGGCGCGCCGGCGGAAGCCAACCGGAAGCAAACCGGAAGCGCCACCTTTGATTGGCAGAATAAATTAGCATAGCTAATGCGCCCAGCCGCCCGGAGTTTTCGTACTTGATCGCTTGTTCTGGAATCTGTCAGGTCGGGACGTCGGAGCGGGGTGGCAGCCTCCCCGGAGGCGCGGAGGCTGAGGCTGCGACCCCGGCCCGCCCGGCCCCACCGGATACTGCAAACAAGCCGCTCAAAGGGGGACGCCGTGACCCGCGCTACTCTGTCGTCGACACGAAGCGAAATGATTGAAGAAGGGCGTTTACAGCTGAGAAGCCACTGGGCTGGTTGGAGAACGAGTTTTCTCGATGCCACTCACTCTATTAGTCGAAACCTTGCAAACAAGTTCAGGCCTTGCAAAGAGCAGTTTGTCCTTAAACAGGGTTAAAAAGAGTTCGGTCGGTGGTGAACTCCCTTTTTCAGTGCAAAGTATTTCGGGCATAAGAATGGGCTCAGTCAAAATACTTGAGCGTGGACGCGGTCGTGAGTCGCCATGTTGTACCTCTTGCAATCAGAGCGGCCCCAGCCGGGTGGGCGGTGGCCTGGCTGCCTGCCTGGCTGCCTGCCTGGCTGCCTGCCTGGCTGCCTCCCTGGCTGTACCAGAGGGAGGCGGCCGGGACGCACAGGCTGACCAGCCGGCCAGGCAGGGCTGGCAGCCAGCCTCTCTGTATCCATCCCCCGACCGCACAAATCGAAACGCGAGCAAGCTCCAGGGGTGGCTGTGCAGTGCACAAGCCTGCAGCCACCCTGCGACGGCCCTAGCAAGCTCCAGGGATGGCAGTCGCTGTGCAGTGCACAAGCCTGCAGCCACCCCGCGACTGCCCTTCTTGCCATTTTGTTGGTGAGCAGTCTTATCCAGTCGCGGAGATAATCATTGCTCAGAGTACACAGTGTGTTGACCTCGCGGGAAGAGTACAAAACCTCGTCGTTGCTCACTGCACTGGCTTCCAGCTTTTGCATGGTTGCAATGCACGTGCGAATCCATCGACAAAAGCATGTGTTTAGCTCAAAACTTAGTAGTGTACAAGTTCGTAGTTGTAACTCCCTTTCACCTAGTTAGCGTTTTTATTTGTCCAACATTTGAAGTTATCTTGTTTGGTTTTCAGCTATTTTGAACGATTACTATTCGTCGCCTCATTTGATGCACCTACGCACCTGTCTGAAAGGTAACCTTGTGCATCAATACGCACAGAGCACGTAATGCACCTGCAGTGGTTTTGGCATGCACTCACCCCGTGTTGCATTGGTGGAACGTAGTTGGATAACGTTTGAGTCACTTGTATTTGTTTCCAATCTGCACGATGAATGGAACTCGCATAGTCAGCACCTGCACAGAAACACCCATTCTAGAATGTATTTCCTTTTCTTCCTGCTTTTCTTTTCTGAGAGCCTCTATTCTGTCTTCGTTTCCGTCACCTTGATTGTCTTACCTGCTTAAACTATTCCCACCACCCCACCCAACCCCTTCCTGGACGATTCCAAAGTATTATGCAAACGCTGCGACAGTGTATGATGACCCCAGTTTACTTTCTTGTATGAGCTGGAGGGTTAGGCCTTCCTCGGCCGCATGCCGCTCCCCAGAGCGTGACGCTTTGCGGAGGACCTGGCAGGACCTGGCAGGACCTGGCAGGACCTGGCAGGACCTGGCCATACAGGAGTCCGTGCCGCCAATGGGCCATAATCCCTGCTGTGCTAGGTCCTTGTACGGCGGCCCTATTCAGCCCTTGACGCCCCAGGGCGCAGGGGCGCGTACCTGCGGTGCCCTGCCGTGCCCTGCGGTGTAGGGTGGCCACCCCTCTCTTTACTCACGGTTGCTCCCTTTGCGTTCGACTGCCACTTGACAGGCGGGCCGCGTGGCACCCCTACCTTTTGCAATCTCAGTGCGGTGTTTCCCGTTTCGCGCACGTTTAGTGGCGAGACCGGCAGCGCGCGTGTGTGTGTGTTTGTGTGTGTGTGTGGTGGATTTGGGTATGGGCAAAGGTGTTTTGGTTGGTGTGGTCGCATGGGCCCCATACGTCCTTGCCTCGCAGGAACACTGCGGTCAGGCTGGGCGTCAGGAACACACTACTACATTTCCCTGTCTACCTCGTTTCGTCCTCGTTTGGTTTTTCAGTGAGGGCCGGCCGTTGCGCAACCGTGTGGACTGCTGGATCTCACGAGAATACGACTGACGAGTCGTCAAAATTTCGGGGACACTCGAGTGAATTTTCCTTTGGACTAAGTCTTAGGTTAGAGCCGAATTCAAAGTCCATATTTTCCCTCGGTTTACACGCATTACACTCAGCGCAGGGCGTATACAGCACGGGAGCCAGCCCTCCCCCTCTCACACACAAACACACACAGGCTCGCACACAGGCCTTTGGCAAAGCCCCTGAGCCCTTTGGGACTCACGCCGCTGCTTTTGATCCGCTGCAGCAGCTGGACATTGGACAATTCGTTTCATTTCGCAGATAGGCAGGGTGACACGTCGTGGCGCTGTGCACCCAAAAAATAACAGGAAAAGTAGCGATATACATCGGCAACTTTGGCCCGTCCCGTACATTAACAAATGTGTGAATTTCGCCTTTGTTTAGCCCTGACGGGTTTGAACCGGAGTCTGGGGTCAAAATGGATGTTATTTCCGTCATCAGCGCCCTCAAAAACATAAGAAACAATGCAAAAACTCGAATAAAAAGAATGTTCAAAATATACCCCACCGGGATTTGAACCCGGGTCCAAACTTCTTCGATTCGCTTGAAACTGGCACCATTGGTTTTGTCTCGTCGCCCCGATTCCAAAAATACCCCTGCATGCCCTGCTAGCTGTATCCGTTGCCGAAATCCTCCTCGACCCCATGTAGACCATGATGCACCTGCAGCAGCGCCCCCGGGGCTCGGATCGGATTTGCTGCCACCGGGCGGTTCTTAGGGTCACCCAAGGAGGCTGCATACCAAATTTGGTCAAGATCGGACCACGGGAAGTCCTCGGACGGACGAACGGACGAACGGACGAACGAACGGACGCACAGCATGCATCATACTATATGCCCGTCCCTCCGTCATTTTTTTACAAAAAATAAACGGGACGGGCCAAAAATGGCTTCTTGATTTTTGATTTTCTTGGTTTTTGTAAGAAAAATAATCTTGACACAAGAAAAATTTTCGTTATTCAAGAAAAAAATAGGATGAAGAAAAATTTTCTTGCAAAAACCAAGAAAAGTTAAATTTTTCTTGACCCAAGAAGTCATTTTTTTGGGGTGTGGTCCGAGAGCCGCAGGCCTTTTCGCGGGCTGCAGAGGCCACGGTCGGCTTACCTCGCTAGTGCCCTCTGACACTCGCCACCAAAAACTAACACCCAATTAAGCTTTCCCGTCAGAGGTGGGTCGTTGTAAAAGAACCAATTGAAAGTGCACGCTATAATATAGAAGTCCATTTTTTTTTTCGAAAATAATGATCGAGGAAAGTTGTGAGGCCCTAAAATGTTACCATATTCTGGTTAACACGACACCGCTCGCTGAATCTTAAATTCTTTCCATAGTGTGCCATGCAATAAATTGTCTCCCCCTCGTCCAGGCCGTAGAAATGCAAACTGCGTTCTGTTTTCCGCGAGACGGTCTGTTTGTCACGGGCAGTCGGCCAAAGGGGGTGGCTGCGTGGGCTGCTGGGGGTTGAAGGGGTCGAAGGGTCGCGGCGCGACAGGTCAGCAGGAAACGCGACTTTGCTTTCAGCCGGAGTGTCGGTCACTGTTTCTGCCCCGCCACCAGAAATGCCCGAGTCTCAGCGAGGAAATTTGCATCGGCACGTAGGCTGACCTCGGCGCGGAGGGATGAGGCAGATACGTCACTGGATCGAGCAGTCGGCCAGAAGACCGGCGCTGGTCGCCGAAACACCAGACGCGTTTCGAGCTCCAGAGTCGCTAAATGGGACTCGAACCGAGCGTGTGACCCCACCAATGGATTGCTCTCGGAACGGGGAATCCATTGGCGGGGTCACACGTTCGGTTCGAGTCTTGGTTAGCGACTCTAAAGCTCAAAACTCTTGTCGGGTTTTTGCCGCGGCAACGCGCCGAAAGGGAACGTGATCTGTCCCTCTCGCGGCGTGGCGCTGCACTGGCGCCTTGTTTGCCCGACTTGTAGCTCATCCTCATCCCGCTCGGCCTGGCTTTTTGCCTGCCTCCTTTCCCCCGGCCCCCACACGTCTCGGAGGGCCCTCTTCCCTCTTCGTTGCGCGGGGCTCTAAAACCGCGCGCCGTGCGCGTGTCTAAAGAACTTTCATGCTGCCTTTCTTTTTGCCCTCATTTTTGAGAGCGGTTTCTTTCTCTCCCTCCCTACCCCGGCATGAATAGGAGTACAGGGATAAACTCGATCCGAAATCTTGTCCAGAAAGCCTAGCGTACCGAAAAAAATGTTCCCCAAATCTTGCTTTTTTTTCCCGTTTTTGAAAGAAAAAGGATCTTAAAATATTTTTGGTCATACCAGAAGTATCGTTTGGATCAAGAGCATTTTTTTCTTAGGAAGGCTAAGAAATTCTTTTTCATGTTTGGTACAAGATGTCTGTTTCGGTGGTGCAGCGGGGTAGAGGGAGGGTCCAGGGATAAACGAGTTGTTGAAAACTAGATATGTTGTGTTCTGTACTTACCCAAATGTTTTCACCTTTCCTTGATTGTGAGCTATCTCGACTTTGTCAGTGGTCATGGTTTATTTGCAACTACTTGTAATGTGCAAGTCCAGGCATGACAATTTGGACTTGGGTTCGGGCAGTGCCCCGTTGCGACAGAACGCAACAGTAACCTCTTTGTTTTCTTCCAATCGTTTCTTTTTTTTGCCGACGTTGCTGTTCTCAGCAGTGTGTAACCGATGGCGTCGTTGTTGTGTTGCAGTGACCAAGCTGCGCGAGCACTGGGACGAGACCAACAGCAAGGTGATGTCGCGCAAGACGCAGCTCGACGCCATGCTGGCCGACAGCCAGCGCTACGAGTCCAAGCGCCTCGAGGTGGACGCGTGGCTCAACCGCATGGAGATGCGCCTGGACCGCATGGGGGCCGTGGGCCACACGGCCGACGTGCTGGAGGCCCAGCTGCGCGACCAGAAGGTGAGTGGCGAAGGGGCAGCCTCATACAGTGGGCCAGAAGACCGGTGGAGGCGGCCAAAACTCCAGACGCCTTTTGAGCTCCAGAGTCGCTAAACAGGACTCGAACACTCTCATTCCAGGAACGTGATATGACGTTGAAACGAACGTGACAAAATGTCACGTTCGTTTGAGCGTTGTGTCACATTCGTTTGGATGTGAATTGGCCAAAAATCAGCTTGTTCACATTCAAACTAACGCGACACAATGCTCAAACGAACGTGACACTTTGTCACGTTCGTTTCAACGTGATGTCACGTTCCTGGAATGAGAGTGAACCGAGCGTGTGACCCCACCAATGGATTCCTCTTTCCGAGAGCAATCTTTTGGTGCGGTCTTACGTTCGGTTCAAGTTCCATTTAGCAACAGAAACCTGTCCGGGGTTTCGGACCTTGGGACGAAGGCAACCCAACACTTGGTCTATACGTCATTTTCTTCCGCCGCCGGGAAGCCTTAGGACTGACGGGCGGACACCTGTATCGCACTGCTTTACACCGCAACCCCTCCCCCGTTTCGTCCTAATATTTCACTTCGTGTTTTAAACCTCTCAGAGCAACTTTTCAGGACCTGCGCTGCGTATTATATACCTGTGCATTTTTCGCGCTACTTCCCCGGGCGCTGGAGAAAGGGGAGTGGGGGAATTTTCAGGAGTCCATTTCTCCCTGTCTCTGTCTCGCTGTCTCTCTCTCTCTCTCTCTCTCTCTCTCTCTCTCTCTCTCTCTCTCTCTCGCCACTTGAGCACCCGCTTCCGTCTCATATTGCTTTTTATCGTTTCCGGCGCGACCGGGCCGGCAAGCTCGGCGTCGTGCGGTCCTCGCTGGGGGTCCTTCCTGGAGGCCCTGGAGGTGCTCGGGCCGCCACCCTTATTCGGCGGAGGGGAAAACACGAGAAAACGCGGCCCCAATTCATTACCGCGCGGTGTCGTAATTTAAACGCGATTAGCCTGCGCGTCGTCTGCTCTGCGAAAACAACAAAAACAAAACGCTCCGTGTTTCCGTTTCGCGCGAAATTTTGGACGGACAGTCTCGCTTGTGGCGTGAAGCTCTGACGATGCAACCACGGAGTTGTCAAATGCGTGTTTGGTTTAGATCGAGGCAACCTCCTGAAGCTCCCCTTTTTGCCCCCAGGCCTTCCACGCCGAGCTCCACCAGTACAAGCACCACATGGACCTGTTCTCGCAACTCACGCAGAAGCTGATCGCCGTGTACCAGCAGGACGATACCACCCGCGTCAAGAAGATGACGGAGATGGTGAACCAGCGGTACCAGAACCTCAACACCAGGTGGGTTTCGTTTCGCTCCGGCTCGATATGCTAAAGGGATTGGCCCCGATCGCAGGGATCGGCCGACGCGGCTGGCGCGTCGTGCCCACGACCCACTGACCGGCCACGCCGCTCGATCTTTGAAGTGAAGCAGGGAATAGCAATTCCCCCATGCATTTAGATATGGGGAATCTTCGCCAATGAGCCCTTTTCTCCAGGTGTCAAGCTTTCACTGACCACGCTTGAAAACAGAGGGTGATACTACGCTTTAGTTTCACCAGTGATTAAACTAATCGAACCCGACCTCCTTTTCTACCCTGCTGCAGCATTGTGAACCGCGGCAAGATGCTGCAGTCCGCCATGAACTCCCTGCACACGTTCGACCGCTCGCTGGACAAGTTCCTCGCCTGGCTGTCCGAGGCCGAGTCGTCCATGGAGGCCATGGAGGCCGACGCGGACCGCATGGCGCAGCGACGCGACGGGCGCGACCAGGGCGGCGCCCTGCAGCACCAGCGGCAGCTCAAGGTAAGTCAGCGCGTGTTGCGGCGCTGCCTACCCTCCAGTTAGCAGGCGCCTCGCAGTGCAGGCGCGTGTTGCGGCGCTGCCTACGGCCTACCATTACCATTACCATTAAGGGCTAGACCACAATTGATCGTATGCCATTTCGGGCCCGACACATGCCCGCCTGCACTGCAAAACGAGACATGGCCGTCCTTACTAAGGTGACACTTTTTCCCGGCGGAGAAGAACCTCAAGCGGCTACGACTCCCACTCGCAGTATGGCCAGTCAGGGTGAAGGAGTACATCCCCCCGGAGGGGGGTATGCAGGCCTCCACCCCGGAACAGCGCCTACGAGCACAACCGGTTCCGGTGCCCCCCTGCTTCGTCCCCTTATCTCGGGGAACAACGGCGTCCTCTTGGTCCAAATATTGATGTATTGAGAAAGGTGTTCTTCGCCCTGCCCCTCTCTTCATGCGACCTGTGTCCTGGCGGGAGCATCCTGCGACCTTGCCGACCGAATAGAAAGCTTCATCCAACCAAACACCCGACCGACTACACCAAATCGCCGTGCTGTGCATGTTGGTCAAGGATCTGCGATCTGGTGGCAAAAGAGACATCCCACTGCTGGCTACCTGTAGAGAGGACCTCCTGTGCGCGGCCCCGTCGCCTCATCACCGCGTCCGTGAAACGAAATCCAATCTCAGGCGTCGATCTTCGGTCGTAAGGGGTCGGGCTGGGAGGTCGTGCCGGTGGTCCTGCTCTTGAACACGGCGTTGGTATTGACGGGTCCGTGTCTTGGGTCACGCTGCAGTCTCCGTCTACAGCATCGCGCGGAAAAACCTGTGGAGAAGAAGGCCGCCACCAAGGTGTTGCAGACGGCCAGACGGCCGGGCGGCTGCGTGTGTTGGTACGCGCGGGTAACGGCAAAGGGACCACTCGCCAGCGTTGGCAACCGTTCGCCGAATTCACCGCTCCGTCTTAGCAACGCGGTCTGAGACTGCAGCAGAGTGATAAAAACCTGCGGAGGCAAAACAACGAAGTGAGGCGTCCCGCACCGCCGCCGGCGGCCGCCTTGGTGGTGTCGTATTACTGCCGCCACATCCTGGCCAGCACGCTACGCTGAGACAGCGACCTGCTTATCGCTGCGACGCGCCGCGCGGCACCCGGCCGGCCGCGAGCAGACGCTGAACACTGTAAATTAACCGGAGCAACAGAAGGAAAACAGAAACTGGAACAGAGCAGAATCCACGGCTGAGGACGTCGATGGTAGGAAATTGACTCGTGGCGCAGCACTGCCGAGCTAGAGCAAGAGAACGAGGTGCAGCCCGAGGCAGACACAGACAAAACCCCAAACGAACCAAAACCAAGGGTGACACGGAGGCACTGGGCGATTGATGCGGGTATTAATTGATGATGCTGATGAGTCGCAGGAGAGGCCGCTACACCTAAACAAGGAACACGGGGAATACCCTGGCCCAGCCCAGCCCGCCCGAGGGACGACACAGAGTCACCTGGAATTCCGTGGTGTGGAGCAGGTGATGCAGGCAGGGAGATCCATTGGCGGCTGATGAGGAATCCGTAGGGAGGCTGCAGCAAGTCGCCCGCTGGGGGTGCGCAGAACGAGGGCCGCGACCTAACCTCACTCTTGAGGCACGCAGCAGGACGCTGGCTGGACACGCGTGAGCGTCGCGCCGCAGCCGGCTTATCGCGCACTGCCTCGAGGCACACAAAGACGCACATGGCCGCGACGACAAAAACGCCCGTAACTTCCACAAAACGACACCGATCGACACACGAACAAGCACACGCAATCACTGTCGCCACCCGCGTTAGATGACACCAAAATCAGCCATCGGGACTGATTTTATACCACCGAAACCGAGAAAAACTGCAGGAGCGGCTCCAACCGCGTGGCGGCCTGTGCGAGGCCCCCCCACTCTCTGCCTACGGCCTGCAGACGCTGCGCCATGTGTGAGGGGACGCCAAGGGCCCGGACAAAGACACCAGGGGTAAATTGCTGATTACTCGGACACCGTTGCACTAAACCACTTTGCACTAGGACACGTCGACGCCCGGCCGCGAACCACATCGACCGATACCAAATGTGGACCGAAACACTGACTTTATACCACCACTAAACCCGGAGCACGACATAAACGCGACTCACGCCTGGCACGGCCCGGCGGGCACCTTACCCTCCAGTTGGCAGGCGCCTCGCAGTGCAGGCGCGTGTTACGGCGCTGCCTACCCTCCAGTTGGCAGGCGCGGCCTACAAACCTTAAAACAGAGCAAAATCAACTAAGACGGGCCAGTTCTTCCGGCGACCCTCTCCGATTTGCCTGATTTTTTGTAGGCTTAATAACTAACTAAAGGAGAGTCTAAAGCCAAAATATTAGGTCCGACAAAAATTTATTGCCTGAGATATGGCCAACTTTAGTTTAACTTTTGGAGAAAAAACACGGATTTGGGTATTTTGGACTAATTTTACACTTTTCATAGTAGAGGGCTAAAATTTGGTCACTCTATGTAAAATTGGCCAAGGAACAAGAATATGACCTCAGATTTGACCTCCGAAGAATACCTGAAGAGTAAACCCCCCAAAACCCCCTAAAAACACCTAAAAAAACAGTTTTTTCTTGGGGTTTCTGGGAAAAATATGTGGACAAAAATTTCTGATGACCTCATCTTATAGCAAATGACGCGATGAATCGAATGAGACCACGCGCAGATTTTTATGTCAAACTGTTTAGGAGATATAGCGGTTCAAAGCATGCAAATTTTGCCATTTATTTTTTTAAAAATGTAGGTTTTGAGCATTGTTTGACGTTCTCTGCCTTCTTGGTGTGTGTGGGTGATCTTTTCTTGTGGAAAAAGACGCGCTAAATCGAATGAGACCACGCACAGAGTTGTATCTCAAACCGTTTAGGAGATAAAGTGGTTTAAAGTATGGGCACGGGAGAGCTCCTAGAAACACCCGACAAGGCAGGCCCGCCAAACACGCCTCTTGGGAGGGCGGAATACCGTGCCCATACTTTGTACCGCTATATCTCCTAAACGGTTTGAGATACAACTCTGTGCGTGGTCTCATTCGATTCAGCGCGTCTTTTTCCACAAGAAAAGATCACCCACACACACCAAGAAGGCAGAGAACGTCAAACAATGATCAAAACCTACATTTTTTAAAAAATAAATGGCAAAATTTGCATGCTTTGAACCGCTATATCTCCTAAACAGTTTGACATAAAAATCTGCGCGTGGTCTCATTCGATTCATCGCGTCATTTGCTATAAGATGAGGTCATCAGAAATTTTTGTCCACATATTTTTCCCAGAAACCCCAAGAAAAAACTGTTTTTTTAGGTGTTTTTAGGGGGTTTTGGGGGGTTTACTCTGCAGGTATTCTTCGGAGGTCAAATCTGAGGTCATATTCTTGTTCCTTGGCCAATTTTACATAGAGTGACCAAATTTTAGCCCTCTACTATGAAAAGTGTAAAATTAGTCCAAAATACCCAAATCCGTGTTTTTTCTCCAAAAGTTAAACTAAAGTTGGCCATATCTCGGGCAATAAATTTTTGCCGGACCTAATATTTTGGCTTTAGACTCTCCTTTAGTTAGTTATTAAGCCTACAAAAAATCAGGCAAATCGGAGATGGTCGCCGGAAGAACTGGTCCGTCTTAGTTGATTTTGCTCACATTGAGCATGGCTCGGAGCGGTGCGTGGGTTCCACGTTCGGCGCAGTGCGCGTTTCGCTCAGCCCTGCCGGTCTGTCGGCGAGTCTGTCCGTGGCTCAGTCGAGTCTGCCACAGTGCTACCCAATCCCAGAGAGGGCTTACATGTATCCGACAAGCGGAACCGAACCCAACCGAGCGGTGGCGGGGCAGGCCGAGGGGGAGGGCGCGGCTGGGCGGGGTAGATGCTGCAATGATAGGACCCGACCGCCTCGTTAGTGTTTCGTTGGGGCGTTGCTGGCGGAGGCGGAGCCCCGGCACTGTCAAAGTTGGTGTCACTTAATGACTAAATCGTGGAGGACATTTCCATTTCTTTGGAATGACTCCAATTTCATCGCCATCATTTTCGTCAGAATCACGATGGCGTAGTGTCTTCTCTCGGAGCACACACGGCAAAAGTGGTTCCTGTTTTGTCCAGGAAGCCTATGGTAAAGGCGGAGGCCAATTTCAGGGAGTTCCTGGGGAAACCAGGAGCGGTTTTTGCAGTGCACATGCAGTTTAGCAAGGATAGTGTCGAAGACCCGACGGTCACCGGTGAACGAGGGTGTCAAGCGACTCGGGCAAGTTGCGAGGCAAGTTGCCACTTCCCGTTTGCGCTTTAAACCGAAGCCGAAGCGGCGCTCTGACTTGTCTGTGGGCGTTAGCCAGTGGCGTAGCATGGCCCGGCCCGCCGCAGCCGTCGTTCCATAACGCGTCTCCACGTCCCGTCCGCCAACTTCTTCCAACTAAATCGCATTTGGAGGGAGAGAGGGCGGCGCCGGGCGGCGCGGCGTGGCATAAGTTTGAGCCCCCCTCCGGCCCGCCCCTTCGGCCGGGTCCTAATCTCGCCCTTGCACGTTTCGCGCAGGAAAGGGAACGGAGTGCGAAGCCGAGACTCGGGGGTCAGCCCTGTGTCTGTGTGGGCTCGTCTGTGTGTGCGTGTCTGAGTGGGCTTGTCTTTGTGTCTGACCATTTACGTGTGACCGGTGACACGACACGAGCTGATAAGTGGACATTTCATTGCACTCTTCCCCCGCGCACAGTGGGCCAGAAGACCGGTGGATGCGGCCAAAACTCTACACGTGTTTTGAGCTCCAGAGTCGCTAAGGTGGACTCGAATCGAACGTGTGACCCCACCAATGGATTCCTCGTTCGGAGAGCAATCCATTGATGGGGTCACACGTTCGGTTCGAGTCCTATTTAGCGACTCTGGAGCTCGAGGCGCGTCTGGAGTTTTGGCCGCCTCCACTGGTCTTCTGGCCCACTGTGCCGCGCTGCCGGTGTTGTCTGGCTCTAGTGCGGCCCGCTGCCGAAGTT